GACATTGGAAGGGGGCTCGACCCCGGTCATGGAGCAGGGTATGAACACCGACGGCGGGTTCGACGAGCGGCAAGCAGAGGGGAGCAGGGCCTGAAAATAGCCATGCTCTGATCCGAGGCCTTGGAAGCGAGCAAGCTATCTATCTTGGTGGATTGGATCAGAAGGCTTCTCGAAGGGCGGGAGGCACATCAAGCCGTGGACTTCGAGCTGAAGATGAAAAACGCGAAAAAAGACGTCCACGGCTCGAACCGAAACTTGCTACCTAGGCAGACATCGATCCAGACCAGGCCGTGGCGGGCGACGTTGAAGCTAAGGGGGGCCAAACACGTTGAGCGGTCGGCGTGCATGCGCTAGCGCTGACAATGGGTGGCCATCCGGGGACAGTGAAGTTGGCGTTGATGGTCCTTACCTAGGTATGAGAGAGCATCCAACGACGGGCGGCTTTGCTTTACCGGTCTTTTCATCCATCCAAGTTGCTTTTCTCACGCCTCAGGCCGACCGATGATGCGGCATATGATGTGCCCTGAGCGGGCGAGGACAAGAGGAGAAGAAGGGATGAGGTGACGAGTTGATCGGAGAGGCCGTGCTGTGAGGGAGGGAGTGCAGGATGCACATGCAACTGCAACAGCAGATGCAAAGCCAGAGAGGCACGAGAGGCCCGAGAGGCCCGAGAGGCCCGAGAGGCATGAGGGGGGCTTGCGAGGTCTGTCTGCAAGTCAGAATCACATTGAAAGCAGGTACATCTCGGCGGCTTCGAGCGAGATGCCCCCAAGCAACGCACGCAAGAGGGAAAAAGACCCTGGACGGACGGGACAGGAACAGGAAGGACCTCCCCCCTCCCCAAGCCCCACTCCCGGTCCTTCCAGCATCCAGCATTCAGTATCCAGCAGACCAGCACCCAACCGGTTGGCGTCCTCCCAGGGGTCCATGTGAATGTGAGAGGGGTGAAGGAGAAGGGGCAAGGAAAGAAGAGAAGAAGGGAAGAAGGGAAGAAGGGAAGAAGGGGAGGCACTTTTACTACACCCCCTGCTGTGTCCACCTGAGGTATGGTACTGTCCGCCTTTTGATTCCCCAAGTGCCAAATCCAAGCCCCAAGCGTCAGGAGCTAGGAGTCAGGAGCCAGGAACCACCGGCAGCCAGGAAAGAGCCAGGACGCCAGGAGCCAGCCAACAGTCGTGAAGGGAAGGGCAACAGCCGCCACTCCATCAAGACTAGGTGATGCGCACGGCAACAACGACAAGAGGCGGGAAACTAACTATCTAGTGGGTGGTGACAGCGTTGACAGCGACTGGTAGCGGCAGAGAAGGAAAAACCAACTTATCCACATAGAATTGGCCGGATGGAGGCACTGAGGCAGTCGTGAAAAGGCGGACGCAAGGGCCTCCTTGGGTCGCCCAAGCCACACATGCCGCCCCGCTTCTTCTTATCCCCCCTCCCTCACGCTTGCCCCCCCTTTACCGTGCTTGCCTACCTTGTCCTTGACAGTCGCACTCAAACCACTGGCTGGACCGCCGCGCCGCCCGGGAAATCGCTACGAGGGGCCCCCTCCAAGCCTCCTTCTCTGTGACCTCTGCCTTGTCCCCTCCCCCTTTTCCACCCCCCCCCTTCTGTACAGTACTTTGGTCCCCTGCCGCCCCCCCCCCTTCCCCCGTCTTGCCTTGCCTGCCTTGGGCCAAAAAGAAAATTCGGAAGAACAATGCTACAAGACGTCTGCAGTGCCTGTTGAGAGGGAAACAACAGGGGGAGAAAAGGAAGAAAAGAACCTGATCGCATCTCGTTGGCCGCTCTCCTCATTCTCGAGCAACACCAGACCAGCCACGAACTCGCCATCCGGACCACACTGCTTCAGGTTCGCTCCTACCTGTCGCGCCACGCCTAGGCAGCACCCTCTCATAGCATCGCGACGTACATTGCCTGGCTACACCTACCTTACCTACTTACCCTACGGCACCGCACCACAGGTGAATCAGTGAGGGGTGAGCCCGACAGTGGACAGGGCAACCAGGCAAACAAGCAACCAAAGAAAGTACAACGGGATCCGAGGTACCTGCTCGGCCGCATCTGCCCCTGAGTGAGGGGATCAAAGTCCCTTTACACCCACCCCCCGCCAGATAAACAGGCTCTCCAATC